ATCTGGAAATGAGTTCTTTCTACTGGGAGCAAATTTTGTGCTTCACAAAGGGTACTAATTATTGACCACTATTATGATATCTGGGAATATAAGTTTTATCTTTATTACTTTGGTAGACTCCATAACAGTATAAATCACCTCTATTCATCTTCATGTTCAGGCCCTACCACCCATAATACTCTAAATTCTAAGTAATAAATAAAATCATCATCAATAAAATTCATAAACATTGGAACCACAAATAGAAAAAGTATGAGGAGCACTGAATTGATCTTAAGAGATCAGGAATCTTAATATCTTGCATAAAAACAATCAAAAGAATAATAGGTTTTACTTCATAAAAATTAAACATTCATATTTTAAAAACATATCATCAGAAGCAGATATAAAAGGTAAACTAGAAAAAACGTTCAGCCCATACAACAAAAACTATAATATACAGAGAACCTCTATATAAATAAGACTTTTAAAAACAATATAAATAATAAAAGTAGTAAAAAAAAATTGACCAACTCTAAACTAATTCAGGCTACAAAATATCATGATCTCAGTTTCCCACAATACAAATATAACAAAGACAGTACCAGGAATACAAAAGTAAAAAGAATCACTTCATATTTTGGTGTATTTCTGTAGGTGATATTATAGTAGGGTGATATTAAAGCCATTTATTAATACTTTCCTATTAGTTTTCTGATATAACAAAAAATGAAATATATTGCAATGGAATTTAATTTTATGGAACTGAAGTCAAACGGATGATGATCTAATTACATCCTTAATGGGCTTTTTTTCTTCCCTAGGAAGACACTTGTGTGACACTATATGAGAATACGAACTACCTATGTTGAGTGATATCTAGAAGAAGTGTACTTGTAAGATAGAAATAACTATCATAGTTCCAAACTGGATAATGAGGTTGGCAAGATTACTTAGATAAATTACCAATTTTATCTTCAGGTTTTAATGGTCAGATGTCAAACTGCATACAGAAGAAATTTTATATGAAACAGTCTACAAGTACCTTGCTTGTAAGGGACAAGGCTACTCCCAAAGGAAGCATAGAGAGAAGTGAAGTCACTAGGAGGGCATTTTTGTTTCACATGCAGAAACTGGCCTATATGAAAAGTGGCAGAACAGTCCTGTCTAACAGGAGAAATTCAAGATTTTTCAGGCTTTAACACTGCTGATGGCATTATAAATGAGTATGTTACGTGGTGACATATGTCAAGAACCACAAAAAATTTCAAATCCTTTGGCAGAGTAATTCCACTTCTAGGAATCCATTATAAGGAACTATTACTAGTACTACTGTTACTAAATTATAGTTCAATCACTTGACAAAATATTATCTAGCCTTTTAACAAGAAGGATATGTAAAAATTTTAAAGATTGTGCTTAACAATAGAAAACAAATTGAAAAGAACTGAAAAATTTATAAACCATATTACAACTACATTATGGAAACAAACCAAAATGTTCATTAAAAAAGATATTGGGTTGTACAGAACAAAATAATAATTTAGTTCCCATGGAGACATCAGAGTTATTGCAAGAAGTCTGTGAATCCATGTGTACATACACATCTTCTCAACACTAAAAATAGAATCACTAGGAGATCACAGTATTTTTTGATATAAAAAAATAGGAATTATCTCCTAAGGTTGAGTATAAAATAAGGATGCCTACTCTTGCCACTCCTATTCATCAGTGTACTGAAGGTCCTGGCCAATGTAATGGAAAAGAAAAAAAAAGAGAAAGAATTGAAAAGCATAAAGATTAAAATAGAAGAAGTAAAACTTTAATATATTTGCTGATGACACAATTGCTTATATAGGAAAACTTAAAGAATCTATACCTACTAGAACTAGTAAGTAAATTTAGTGAGTTTGCAAGATCCAAGGTTATACAAAATCAATTGTATTTTTACAAATTAGCAAAGAACAAGTGGCAAATGTTTAAAATTCCATTTACAATACTATTAAAAAAACATATAATACATTCAATAAAACACATATAAGACCTATACACTAAAAACTGAAAAAAATTGCTTAGAGAAATGCAAGAAGACCTAGATAAATGGAGAGACATAATAAGTTCATGGACCAAAACATTCAATAAATATTAAGATATCAATTGTTCCTAAAAAAATAAAGAAGTAAGTCACAAATTGGGAAAAAATATTCATGAAATATATATTTGACAAAGGAAATTTTTATATATGCAGAATATATAAAATACTCCCCAAACTCAATAATAAAAAGGCAAACAATTCGAAAATGACAAAATGATATGAACAGATATGTCACAAAGGAAGATATACAAATGGCTAATAAACACAAGAAAATGCTCACTGATTTCAGGGAAATGCAAATTGAAACCATGAAGAGATACTAAGATATCTCTAAGTATCTACTAAGATAGTAACCATGAAGATACTACACACACAATAGAATGGCTAAAATCAAAAAAGACTAATATCAAATGATGACAAAGATGTGCAGTAACCAGAACTGTCAAGGTGGAAGAGTAAAATGTATTAATAAAATGGTATAACCAAAGTTTTTAAGAATTTTCGGCTACCCCATGACTCAGCAATTCCTCTCATAGGTAGTTTTCCAAACAAATGCCAATGGCAACAAAAATATGTATGAGAATGTTCATAGCAGTTTTACCCAGAATAGCCAAAAACTAGAAATAGCTAAGGTTCATGTGATAGTGGGAAATATAAATTTAATCTTCTAAAAACCTTCTAAAACCCCTGTAATCTCCAGAGTAATGAGAGTCTTTTGTTTGCTAATGAGATGACTGAAAGCTGGGGTCTCCTAGACAGCTTCAGGAGGGGCCTGGTCACCCAAAACACCAGCCACTTGATCAGATGGGAGAGGAGAGTGGGACTGAAGGTTGAGTTGGTCACTAATGGCCAATGATGCAATCAATCATGTTTATGTAAGAAAGCCTCCCAAAAAACTCAAGAACTGGGTTCTGACGAGCTTCCACACAGCTGAGCTCTTTGAGGTTCCTAGAGGGTGGCACACACAGGGAGTGTATCTTTTCCATCTGGCTGTTCATCTGTATCCTTGGTAATATCCTTTATAATAAACAAGTAAATGTAAGTAAACTGTTTCCCTAACTTCTGTAAGCTGGTAAATTAATGTAACCAAGGAAGGTATCTTGGGAACCCAGATTTATAGCAGGTTTGTCAGAGGCAGAGGTCACAATCTGTGCTTGCAACTGGCATCTGGTGTGGTGGGGAGGTGGGCAGTTTTGTGGGACTGAGCCCTCAACCTGTGGGATCTGATGTTATCTCCAGTTAATAGGAGTGTCAGAATTGACATAAATTAAAGGACATTCAGGTGGTGTCCATAGGGGAATCAACTACAGAAGTGACTGACTGTTGCTGGGGAGAAATCCCCAAATATTTTGGTGACCAGAAGTCACAGAAGTGTTCTATGTTGTTTGAAGGTAAAGAATATGAAAAATAGTTTGTTTTTTCCTATATCTCTTAGATTCCATCAACAGAAGAGCTAACTGTGGTATATTCATACAGTGGAATAAACCTAGCAATAAAAAGATACAAGCTACTGGTACTTGTTGTAACATGGATAAATCTCTAAATATTACAGTGAAAGAGGCCTTACACAAAAGAGTACAACTGTAGGGTATCATTTATATGAAGTTCTAGCAGCAGCAAACTAATCTTTGGTAGAAAAAAAATTAGAATAGGCAGTTACTTGTCGCAGGTTGGGGCAGGGATTGGTAGAAGAGGTATAGGGGAATGTGTTTCAATGATAGCAATGTTCTTTATCTTGATGATGCAACCTCTATCTTTAGGTTGCACAGGTATAGATATTTGTCAAAATTCAGCTAACGAACATTTAAAATTTAATGATATGTGAATTTTACCTCAAAAGTAAAAAAAAAGATAAAGAATGATCTAATTGTAGTTAAATTATATGCATGCTGGAGTATTTAGTGTAAAGTGTATTGATGTTTACAGATATCTTTGAAATACATCAAAAAAATAAGATGGACTGATGGACAAATAGATGAATAGATATGTAGAAAAACAAATATAGTAAAATGTCAATGATAAAATCTAGATGTGATACATAGGAATTCACTAATTTTTTTTCAATTTTTCTGTATCATAATAAAATTTGGGGGGAAAACCAGGAACTGATGTTTTGATGTATTTTTTTTTCCTTTTTTCTATTTTCTAAGTTCTCCGTAATGTGCAACCGTCTTTTTAATTTTAAACATTTTTAAAAGAAAGCAAACCAATGACATTTATGAAAACCAAATATAAATGATTTCAAAACAAGTTAGAAATCTCATTTTAGGTTCAATGAAAGTTAACATATTCACTATTTTTAATCCACTGTCATAAAATTCAGTAAGACCCTTCAGAAAATCTGGTTATGTAGCAAGGCACTGTTTTTGAACTAATTAAAAAAATTTAAAACTAATTAAATGTACTATTAAAAAGTTTTTTTTCTTTTAATGCCTCACATTAAACTTCCCTTGTACTCAAAAACCTCTCCAATATCATTCTGTGTTAATGTGTGCTCACTAAAAGTACATCATTTCTTAGACTCTGTAATCATCAAACAGGACATTTCTTAGGAAAACTGAGTTGGCTGTTTACTTTCAAAAGAGCTTTATCTTTAGAAAAGCACAAGTTTTATGCCAGGTGCTAGTCAATTGTGTCTTGTTAATTTCCAAAACAAACAGAAGAGAGTGCCATGCAATTTCCATTACACACACTTCACCATTAGTACCAGGGTTTATTAGTTTGACACTGCTCCAGGAATAATGGTTTCATTCCTCACTGAAATAAAATAATGTGCCACATAACTCAGCAATGCGGAACTTCTGAAAAATGTTGTCACGTTAAACACGGTCATATTTTTCAGTTTCCATTATGTCAAAACAAAGGTCATTTGCCATAAAGAACTCACCCTGGGTATGGAGAATTCCCACATGGGCTGCAGACTTACCTCATTGCTATGTCATATGATTCTGGATGAATACAAGTTTGGTCCAAAGGATTTGGCTTCAGTAAAACATTCACTGTAGTTTTGCTCTTCTTTTTGCCCTGCTTCTCATTTGTGACCTCAACACCTGCTGAAGATGTCACAACTCCTTGAATTTGGCCTGAAGACTCAGTTTGCTGACTACTATAGCCATTTATAACCAAGAGGAAAAAAAAAAAAATTAAAAAAGGGGAGGTTAGGCAGAAAAGTGTCTTTAATTAAAAATGTACTTATTTCTCTGCCATACAAATATATAAAAAACAGCAACCAGATTCTGACTTTTCAATTCATAGAAATTACTACCTACTTGTTTAAACCACTGCTAATAGGGTTTTCTGTTGCTTAAAGCCAAAAACATTCTTAACTGATTCAGTTGTATAACTGGCATTCAATAGAGAACAGAAAAATGAATGGAAATGAAATAAGATTTCTCAGAGCTAAAGAAAAACACAAGTTCTTAAAAGAACCTACTGAGTGTAGAATAGGATAAACAGAAAAAGACTCATATTTGACATATTATGATGAAACTTTAGAAAATAAATAATTTTAAAAATCCCAAAAGGTTTTCAAGAGAGAAAAATAAAACATTACTTTGAAAGGGATCTGGAATCAGACTAGTATCAGATTTCTCATTGGCAAACATCAGATGTTAGAACATAGTGTAAAAATGTCTTAAAAGTTCTGAGAGAAAATGATTTTGCATTTAAAATCATATACCTAGCCAAACTAGCATTCAAGTAAGAAGGCAAATTAAATCATTTCCAGACATGTTAAGAACTTTAGTATAACTCATACATTCTCTCTAAAAATAATTTATTAAGGATAAACTCCAGTAAAAACAATGAATTCAAGAAAAATGATAACATGGGCTGTAAGAAACAGTGATGAACACAGAAATCATAAAAACTTATTAAGTTAAATAACTGCTCATGAATAATGTAAAAAATACATATAAAAAGAACAGTCTGAAACTAAAATCTCAGGTCACCTCATCATGGGAAGTAAACAGAATTGAAGAGAGGAAAATGGGGAAGAATCCTTAGTTTCTAGCCTTCTCTGGGAGAACAGAGAGACCTATGTGCTACCAGCATTAGAAAGTAAAAATGTGGCTTTTAATCTAAAGTACTGATAATTAATGCTTTGGTCAATTTGCAATGAAGAGGGAGTAGGGAAGCCCATCTGTGCTTAGGGTAAGCTATGTCATTATGAAGTGGTTGTTGTGAAGTCACCTTAATCACCTCATCTCATACCACTCCTTCCCTCTTGCTGCACTCCAACTGTGCTGGCCTTCACCTCATTTCTTGAACACCCCAAAGTTGGCCCTGCCTTAGCACTTTGCTCACTTAGTGTTTGCTTTGCCTGGAATGCTTTCCTTCCGATCTTTGTGTAGGTAGCTCCTTCATTTCATTCAAAACTCTGCTCAAATAACTCTTAAAGAAATAACTCATTCTAAGAAGTTGTACTGCTCCCCAAGACAGTGTCATGTATCCCTGTTTTAATTTTTATAGCACTTATTACCATCTGAAACTACTTATTTTACTAGTTTGTTTATTGTTTATTTCATACATTAAAATTTAACTCCATAAGAATGGGGAACTTGCTAACTTGTTCAGTGCTACATTCCCAGTGCCTTGCAAAGAACAGACACTCAACACTTATTGAATGAAGCCATGAATAACGGACACCTAGAATTTATGCCAGTCGTAGAAGACTGGGTAACAATAACAAGAGAGGAGGTTGACAACAGAACCAAAAGCGTACACTTTAAGAATCACCTGCAAAATGTTCGGATATAATCCTGGTTGATTCTGATGAAGCCAGCACACTGTTGGAAGGATTTTGGACCTAGCCCTTTCACTTTCTTCAGTTGTTCTCGGTTGATAAAGGGCCCATTTTGCTCTCTCCATTCAATAATATTTTTGGCCCTGTTTGCATTAAGTCCTGCAATATGCCTACAAAAAAATAAACAAAATGATTAAACATCTCATGTGAAAAGACAATGATATAAAACATTTGGATCATAGAAACAATTGTAATGACATATTGTCATATGCCTAAATTAATCCAAAAGGGAATTAAATAAAAAGGACAAACAAGAAAGACTTGTCTAAGAGAAAAGATGAACAACAGAATGACAAATAATGACAAAACAGTAGCTATCATAAAGATGTTGGTAAACTGGTTGATGCTGATGTAAGAAAAACAACTGTTCCTCACAGTATTTCTACACTATTCACATTCCTTGTATTTCTGAATCAAGTAATAATTCTGCCTATTTCTGGTTAGCTTATAAAGTGAATCAGCAGAAGTTACAATAGGTACAATTGTATGTACTATCCCCCATTTTTTTGGTCAGCCTGTTTTATAGGAGTTGAACTACAGAAGGATATTTATCCTTGACTGCCACAATTAATATAACAATATGAAATCTATATAACTAAGTAGTTTGCTTGGGGTTAGTTAAAAAATTCAGAGAATCTTAATTTTACTATCACATTCCATATATGGAATTATGAAACATTTGTAGCTATGGTAAAAAAGCAACACCTTAAATGTAAGGGATATTTTCCACAATACCTGTTTCACAATGAAAAATGTCCAGATCAGGGAATTTCATGCTGTATCAGCAGACTTGTATAATAAATGCAAAACTAATAACAAAAAAAGCAACTCTTCTATAACCACAGGGGAAAAAGTATATCTAAGATGTGATCATACTATGATGGGAATTTTGACAGGTGACTTGTGGAATTAGTGTAAAAATATGGTAACCATACCTTGAACTCTCAGAATTTATTTTTTGGTTACTGCCAGCTTTGACAGATGCAGGCAAGAGACTGAACTAGTGAAAAATATCTACTCTTATGTGGTGGGAAACAGCTATTTTCCATGTTAGCCTTATTTAAATTCTATTAGCGACACTAATGCACTCAATGGTTACCATATGCTCTTCACTTTAGACTTGTAATATTAAAAATGATAATGTGAATTGCTACAATTCTTTTCTTAAATGATGTCTTCCCCTCTGACTTATTACCTAATGCAATGTATAAACCCACAGATTTTTTTACACTTGACAACTTTATACACTTGTGTCCCCTTGTTCTAGCTGAGTTTGGGTTAGATAGCCAGTTAAACGCAAGATTCTGTGATCTTCAGCCACAGACTTCTTGACTCACCTTAACAAAACTTCTGAACAGATGTTAATATCCACTCCCACAAAGCTGACACATTCTTCTACAACACTGTCCAGTGTTGCCTTGAGTAAAGTCTGGGATACATCATGCTGAAAAAGACAAAGATCAAATATCAATCAAAAGTGAAGGAGATACAGTTCTTGGACTATTCCATTACTCTGCCTGTATTCCTGGTAGTTGGCTAATACACACCATGGTAAATTTCTTCATTAAGACATTGTTAGCAGATGTAATTGAGCCAAATTCAAGGAATTTGTTTTTTCTTAATCTTTAAGCTACTCATACACCTGACTTTAATGTAACAGCAGGAGTATTTTTCCCTTGTCTGAAATTCTGCCTAGAGCAGAGTGATTCTCAAACTTTAGCTTCTATTAAAATCACCTGTAGGGCTTATTAAAACACAGGCTGATGGGCCCCACATCCAGATTTCTGATTCAGTAGGTCTAGGTGAGGCCGGAGAATTTATATTCTAACAAGTTTCCAGGTAATAATGTGGCTGCCAGACCACAATTTGAGACATACTGGTCTCTGTCATTCATGCCTTGCCTTGTAGTGTTAACTTCGCTTGCATATATATTCTGTTGCTTAGTTCTTAAGAAAACATAGGAAGCAGTACAGTAATAATAAGTTAGACAGTTAATCAAACTCTTATGTTTCATCAAATTAAAGACAGTATTGTTTATATGAAGCACCATTATTTTATATACCACTAAGAAAGAAAATACATTGTCAATGAAACCAAGACACATGCTTTCTTATTGCTTAAAGTTATTTAATTTTTAAATATTGAAAGAGCTCTTTAGACTCATTTAGAAATTCTAAAAGTAACATATCATGTATAAATAAAAAAATATAATCTAAACTAAGGTGTCCCTAAAATTTCTTCACATTTAGTGTTTAACTCTTCTGAATCATGTTTATACTCAAAGTCCCAGGTGTCAAAGTTTTCTTTACAGTATGATCTTCATGCTAACAGGACCCTTGGTAATGTGGCATTTCTTAATAGAGTAATCCTCTACTGTTTCTGGGATTTTCTTTCAAGCTTCAAGTGCTCCTTCTTACAAGCTTTGATGATAGTAGCCTGGTATTAATCTTAACAGAAGGTATCAACAGAAGAGATGTTGGATAGTAACAAAACTCCTATTCCTTCCTGAAAGGTCTTTAAATGGTTTATTGTTCAATGGTTTGCTAACTACAACAGTGAGGAGTCTCTAGGATTAACAACCAACTTCATACAGAAACTACTAATATATCATGATTTATCACAGGGCCAACAGCAAGTGTAGGACACCATTAATTGTAAGCTGCATCCTGATTTCAGACATGTTAAAGTATGAGAAAATGTTCCTCTCACAACTGATGAAATGAAGTATCTGCAAGTAAATATTTGTTGACTAACTGAAGCCAAATTAAAACAATGAATACACTTGATGTTACTCATAATTCTAAAATTAATGATCTTCTAGTTCCCAGTTATGAAACTGTGGGTCAGCATACTTCTCTTTTCCAAAATATCTCAAGGAAACAAGAAAGACAATATCATACAGTCCCCAAGTATTGTGATTACATTATTATTTAATAACAGCATGAGTTTTTGTTCTGGGAATACTCCTATATTTCAGTGATAGCTTAGCTGGTAACTATCCAAGCCACAGCTAAAAATTTTGGATCTAATTTTTAAAATCTAATAAACAAACACAATCATGAAAAAGATCATAAAGTGAAATGTGAGATCTTACTGTGAACCTGATTACTCTTGAGCCACAGCTTTTAAGCAGCTACATAGTCTTTTCTTTGTCTAAGTAGATGAGAAGCAGCAAAATGAAAAGGGATCTTTTAAAAATGATAGGGTAGGAGATAGGATGATGATGTAAAGGAAGCACAATGATAGCAATAAGAAAAAATATTAGAGGAAAAAGACAAAAATATAATCAAATTGGAAAAAGGAAGAGTAATAGTTGAGAGCCATAAGAATAAGGACAAACAAGTCTATCTAGTACTGCAAAGCACACCAGATGGTTACGACAGCCAAATGAGTAAGCTACAGTCTCCGTAGCAGACAATCTTGATTGCCTATCCTACCTCTAGCCTTCAACCCTTTTTCCCCCTTTCAAACAGAAGCCTGACTGTGTTTCATGCATTTACCTCACTTCTGTAAGGCCATATGCTTTGAGGAAGCTGGTGCCACCTCCGGCAGACAATACTCACTAGTTAAAACCCGTGTTTTTCATACTGTAGGTTGTGACCAAGTAGTGGGCCATAAAATTAATTTGATGGCTTGGTACAAGCATTAAAAAAAAAAATCAAGAAAGAAATAGCATAGACCACATAAAGCATATTGCACATACCCTTAACATGGAATGAACAATACAAAAAACAAAGCAGCCAACTGAGACTATCATGTGACAAGAATATAACATTAAGTGGTCAGGAATAGGTATTTGGTTCACTAATATCTCATTTGATCTTCTGACACATGATGGTCAGTTTAACCAACTGATTGATGGAGAGGTTAAAGAGTAACTTTACAAAATTATGAATCAAAGTATGTGAGAAGTTAATCATTTATTGGCAAAGTGCTATTCTTTTAATCAAGTTTACTTACAAACTTTCAGTGTATTTTTCAAAAAGGATATTGAGTATAACATTTTTCAAATTCTCAGCAATTGTAATATTTTAACAGAGTTAGTACAAGCTGCCCTTAAAATGAATCATTTTATACTTAGAAGAAAAAATGATAGTGCAATAAAACCTATAGAGGAAAGCTCAACTACCAGATTTGGAAGTTTTAATAGCGGCAAAATTAAGAGAAAACGTTGACTCCGATCAGTAATCTTACACTTCACTCCAGCCACATTTTAAATAGAAAAGAATAATTATAAGACTTTAAATTAAACTTGATTTAATAAATTATTTTATAAATATGCAAAAATATACAAAACAGTAAAAATGATAGACCTCTGATGTACTGTTGGTAAGTTCTCGTAGATGACAGTTTAAAAATGTCAAAATTAAGACCAGGGTGGTGACTCACTCCTATAATTCCAGCACTTTGGGAGGCTGAGGCAGGGAGGATTATTTGAGGCCAAGAGTTTCAGACCAGGCTGGGCAACATAGTGAGACCTTGTTTCTACAAAATTTTTTTTTTAAAGTAGCCAGGTGTGGTGATGGGTACCTGTAGTCCCAGCTACTCAGGAGGCTGAGGTGAGAGGATCTCTTGTGCCCAGGAGTTCAAGGCTGCAGTGAGTTATGACTAGGTCACTGTACTCCAGCCTGGGTAAAAGAATAAGGCCCTGTCTCTAAAAAACAAAACCAACACACAAAAAACTTCAAAATTAAAAAACAAACAAAACCACTTAAACTGCCCTACTGGAATGGCTAAAATGAAAAAGATGGAACATACGAAGTACTGATATGGATATGGAACAACTGTAATGCTCAAAACATTATCATGATAAGTACACTGTAGGTCAGATATGCAAGGCAAGGCAGTTTTATTGAAGATTTATTTTATATGGTTTAAATGTAACTTCATATAAAACTAAATCCGATATTTTCATATAATGTAAAAATGCATTATTGTTTAATAAGTTAAACTAGATAAACTATAAAGGAATAAAAAATGGACAAATTTCTAGGAACACCAAAATTGCCAAAACTGACTCAAGAAGAAATAGAAAATCTGAATAGACCCATTATAAACAAAGAGATTCAATCAAAATTTCCCAACAAAGAAAAGTTCAGAAGCAGATAGTTTCATTGGTGAATCCTACCAAACATGTCAAGAAGAGTTAACACTACTGTCCTTTTCAAACTCTTCCAAAAAATAGAAAAGGAGGCAACACTTCCTAACTCATTCTATGAGGCCAGCATTACCCTGATACCAAAGCTAAACAAAGATACCACAAAGAAAAAACCCTATAGATGAATCTCATATGAATATTGATGCAAAAACCCTAAACAAAATACTAGGAAACCAAATCCAACAGCACATTAAAAGGATTATACACCATGACATAGATATAATGTATTCAGTAAGTATGAATTTAAGAACCAGACTTACATTTTTTTAGTTGAAAATAATCTCTCAACATTTTTAACTTTTTATTTTCAAATAATTCTAAATTTAGAAAAAAAATGCAAGAGTAGTACCAAAGCTGTCCTACTGCCTTCTCTCACATAAATACTTCAGTGTATATTTCCAAATAGCAAAAACACTGTTGTACCCATAGTATGATTATTAAAATTAGGAAACTTATTGCTGTATAATACTATCTAACATATAGCTCATACTCAAATGTCATCAATTGCCCCAATTCTATTTTACGGCATTTTCTTTCCAATCTAGAATTCAATCCAGGATCACACATTGGATTTAGTTGTCTTACTTTTCATACTCTGTGGTAGGCGGCTTCCAAGATGGTTCCCCACAATCCTCAAATCCTGGTATTCATGCACTTGTGTAATCCTCTCCTATTGCATGTAGAATTCATTGATGAATCTTGTTTAAATCAATCACTAAGATTATTTTACCACTCACAATGACCTATTTGTGTGAAAAAGTATTTTCAATCTTAACTCAAATAAAATTTTAAAAAACAGGCTCAACATTGTATCATATATTCTCACAGCACTGTTCTTATATATTCTGGACTAGAAAAAATTCATGAACATCCTATATCTATACATTAAATTAATTCTTTTCTAATTATTGTGTTTGGATATTTAAAAACTTACATTTAAATATAAATAAAATAGCATTTAACTTCATGATTGGTTGTATTATTCTGAGAAACGTTTATTTTGAGTTATGTTTAATTATAAAAGAGACATATAGATATATTCAAATATATGTGTAATGGGTGCCCTGGTCATGATGTAAAATGTATTTTCTAGTGTGTCATGATCAAAAGGTATGAAAAACAATAGTCTAAGCCAATCATGGTAGTCCCATTCCATTTATTCAATAATGGCAAATGTGAGGATAAATATGCCAGGCACTTCGGAAAAAAGAATTCCAAGCTCTTAAATAGAGAGTCTTATGAAGAGCCAGCCTTTTCTTCCCTTGATTCAAGTATGATTCCTGGAA